TTCCCTGGTGGTGCCCAGAGTGGCCACCAGGGAAAGCTGGGGAGGGCTAGCCTCCCACTAGTTCGAATTAAGTGGCTACACAGCCCTTAATTCGAACTAATTAATTCGAACTAGGTGTTAGTCCTCGTAGAATGAGGTTTACCTAGTTCGAATTAAGCGCACCGCTAGTTCGAATTAAGTTCGAACTAGCGGTTTGCATGTGTAGCGCCTATCAAAGTTAATTTGAACTAACGGCTGTTAGTTCGAATTAACTTTGTAGTGTAGACATACCCTTAGATACCTACAAGGTTAAGTGGCATCTGAACAGGGGTTTTGAAAATGTTAGTAGCACCTAAATGTTGGACTTCGGTGTCTAAAGAGGCAGCTTAAGCCCCTGAGTACCTTTGTGAAGCTGGCTCTTTGTTCTTGATATAACCCAAAAAAAATTTATTTTTATTGATACCAGTAGCTCCCCTTCTTAGGTGTTAATTAATAGAGATGGTATATCCAGGTCATATAGCAAGTACTAGAAATCTTGTAGACACACTCCTGAATTGTCTAGATTGTAATTATATTAAATTCTGATTGAGTATACTGTGCAAAGCCACTTTTGAATTGACCTGAACTTAGATGGTAAACCAGCTGCTTTCAACTGCAAAGACATAACTTGCTCAGCTGCTTCTCTCATTTTCTTAGAGGCAAAGAGTGTGGACGGACAACTGAGATGGTTGAGGAAAGAGGAGAATAGATGGATCCTTTCCAATGAGCCAGGATGCTCTTTTGGCAGCATTTAGGGGGTCTCAAGCTATTTTACACTTGCTTTCTACTATCAAAGCTAAATGAGTGGGTAACTAAATATTGCCCACTACAGACATTCAAAAATCATGAGTCAGGCTGCCTCAAAAATGATGTGTGTAGGGTTTTTTTTAAAATACAAATGTGTTTTTAGTCTGTCTTTGGAATTTTGAATCCTTCCTGCACTCCTGCCCCCTAGCGTGTATGTAACTGTCCAGGTCATGCCAGTTTGTGCAAAAGTACTGTGAGTCGTGAATGGGATTGTGATTGAAGCCTCTACTGTAGAATCTTTGGAGAAAGAACCCAACTGAAATTTGGGTCCTGCTGTTCTAGGTGCTATATTGGGGCCTCCGAGGCTTGGTGTCATCCCCCCACCCCCAGCATTGAGGAACTGGTGCTCCAGCTCTGCAGCCCCACCCCGCCCCCAGTGCTGGGCTGGGGTGCCAACACTGACTCCCCACTGTGGGAGGTGGAGGGGGAGAGGGCAGCTCCAAGCCTCACAGGCTGGAGTCAGGCAAGCAAGCTGGAGCTGGATATGACATAAGGGCTCTGCCCGGCATGGGGAGGAAGTGGCTCCATGTTGTGCCGCCTCCTCCCGCTCCCCCTGGCTGGGGAAATGGCAGCACAGCAAAGCACTGTTTGCAGGCTTTCCCCTGCCACTCCAATTGGCCATAATCATAATCATGGCCAATAGGAGCAGCAGGAGGACAATGCCTGTGAGCAGCATGGGACATGGAGCCATGTCAGGTAAGTGCCCATCGCTCATACCCCACCCCCACCCTGTTCCTGCACCCCCTCCTTCCCAGACCCCCACACCAGCCTGCTCTTGCACCCTACCTCCCACCCAGCCCTCCTACCCTCAACCCGCTCCTGCACCCATCCCTCATGCCCAGCCTCCAGACCTCCACTTTGCTTCTGCACCCCCTGCCACCCAGACTCCTCGCCTGCACTCTGCTCCTGCATCCTCCCTCCTGCCTTGAGCCCGCTTCTTGAACCTCTCATTTCTGGCCCCAGCTCAGAGCCTTGGGTGCCCCACAAAATCTACTAGCCTGGGATGTATTAGGCTCTGGTATGTGAGGGGAATGAAGGAAGTGTCTTTCTGCTTCTCAGCTGGGGCCACGTCAGTGAGGTGGGGGGGTTTAGTTTGTTTTGTGGGGATTTTTTTTACTTCTCACTTTTGTGTGGTCCCCAACTGATTTTTCTGTGGGTCAGTGGCCTCTGACCCAAAAAAAGGTTCCCCATTCCTGTACTATAAACTAATAAGAGGCAGTGTCCGCCTAAGAGAGCCTGCAGTCTCACAGTGCTATATTCTCTACTAGGGTACTTCTCTCCCCAGCAGAAGGATTAAGTGATGTTAATACTGAGGGGCCGTGCTTTGTAGCAAACACGGTGGCAAGTTCATGTAAAATTCCTGTAGTTATAACTTCATCTTAGCAGCCACTTGCAAACTTACTAGCTTCTGCCCTTCACCTCTGTAGTTCTGACGCTGGCCACGAGAGGCTGCTGTTGGCAACCAAGCAGTTGGCTTTGGAGCTCTGGTTGCTCCCTGAGGCTTCTTGCAGAGCCCTGTTCCTTGCTTTTTGTGAACCCCAAGGGAGCTGCCAGCTGGCCAGGCAGAAGCAGCAGCTCCCCCACAGTTTAGGGTAGTGCCCAGGAGGGGGTTAGAAAAGTGATAGCAATGACCCTTCCCGCCTCCTCAGTATGAGAGTGGCTATGTGCTGGCCTCACCAGCTCACTGTTGCAGAGCTGTGTGAGGGCCCAAGGGATGCAGGTGATAGGAGAAGGACCCATACTCGAATCCAGGGCTACGTCTACACTGGCAGGAATTTCTGAAAATGCTTTTAATGGAAAAGTTTTCCGTTAAAAGCATTTTTGGAAAAGCACGTCTAGATTGGCAGGATGCTTTTCTGCAAAAGCACTTTTCGCGGAAAAGCGTCTGGGGCCAATCTATACGCAGTTTTCCGCAAAAAAGCCCCGATCGCCATTTTCGCGATTGGGGCTTTTTTGCGGAAAACAGTACTATGCTGTCTACACTGGCCCTTTTGGGCAAAAGTCTTTCAGAAAAAGACTTTTTCCCAAACAGGAGCAGCATAGTTTTTCCGGAAAAGCACTGATGATTTTACATGAGATCGTCAGTGCTTTTCCGGAAATTCAAGTGGCCAGTGTAGACAGCTGGCAAGTTTTTCCGGAAAAGCAGATGATTTTCCGGAAAAACTTGCCCGTCTAGACACAGCCCAGGTGTATATGGGAAGGAATTAGGAAGATCTCCCTAGGGCAGACCCTAAGTGGTCCCCAACGTGGTGCCCGCGGGTGCCAGGGCACCCACCGTGGCATTTATGTGCTCCCGCCGAGTGACCAGGGCTGGCCCAAGCCATTCTTGCGCCCTGGACTCTGGGTGCGCGGTGCATACGCAGCCCCGGCCGCACAGCGCATTTGCGGCACCATCCTCGGGTGCCCGGCAGCCCCAAAAGGTTGGGGACCACTGCCCTAGGGGATTCCTAGAGCAGGCATAGGAGGATGCTGGGGAGAGCCCCTCCTATCTGTCAGGAGGAAGAAGGGGGTGCCTCCCGCCCCTCCACCCGCCAACCCTTGTGTGTTTTATGTTCATATCAGCCAGGTGTCTTCCTGTTCTGAAATCAGAGAACAGACTGAAATTTAAATACAACATACATTATTTTTATAGCACCCTTAAGGGTTCAGCTGTAATCAGGAATGCTTGATGGTGGATACATAAAAAATTTTAAGTTCATCTCATGAGTTTTTGTTTTTCTTGTTATTCCTGTTTGGGGGTTGTTGATAGGAAATACATGACGGCACTTTAATCAGTTGTGATATTGACTCCTGTAATGGCCATGAGCAGGATCCCTAAACCTGCCATCATTTCTGGATGGAACGAGAGGAAGAGCTGTGTGCTCCCGTTCACCAGGACTCTGAGGAAAGAGAAATTCTTCTTGAGGCCTCCACAGGTGAGGAATGAGTTAAGTCAATTCAGAAATGGCTGGAAATCCAACTTTTTGTTTCATTTTTAAAAAGACCTTGCCATAGAGCCTCATCTCTTCTGTGCTGGGATTGCAACCAGCAGTTATGTCTGGCAGGCGTCATTCATGGTTTTCCACTAATCCTGACTAGCTTCTGTCCAAAGTCCTGTTTCTCTCTTTCTTCCTCTACCCACAATTCATTTTTTATCTAAAAGTTCACGTGAGTTTTTGAAGCATTTTTTTTTTCTTTCCTCACTGGGAAATGTGTTTGTGTGTGTGTTTTTGTGGGATGGAGACTGGGATTTTTCTTTTCACATCCAGGTGTACATTTTATTTAGTTAACTCATATTCTGTTTAATTCCCCTTTCCTAGATTTCTTTTCTGCCAAACACTCATGTCAGGCTTCTGTTTATTCAAGGAGACAGTGAAAGTGTGAATGAACATGAGGAGAAGAATCCCCAAGAAGATGGTCTTGATAATGTAGAACAGTATGGGACGATACCAGAGGGGTTTGAAGAGAATGTTTTCCAGAGCCCTGATGAGGAAGAGCCCTATGAGAGGCAGTACATGACAGAAACGCAGCAGGGAGACCTTCCTGGTAAGATAATGGGTAACTCCATTAATCCAGAAAGAGATTTGGAGGCTCTCCAAGGTATCATCCAGCAGAGAATTCCTGTAGGGGAGAGACCCTATGGATATACTGAATGTGGGGAGGGCTTCAGTCAAAACTCAAACCTTGCACAGCATGAGATAACACAGACAGGAGAGAAACCTCATAAATGTACTGAATGTAACAAAAGTTTCAGTTGGCGCTCAGACTTAATTAAACATCAGAGAACCCACACAGGCGAGAAACCCTATATATGTAGTGAATGTGGGGAAAATTTCAGTGTGAGCTCTCACCTTTTCACACACAAGAGAATCCACACAGGAGAGCGACCCTTCCATTGTAACGAATGTGGAAAAAGCTTCAGCCGGAACTCTCACCTTATTAACCACCATAGAACCCACACTGGAGAAAAGCCCTTTGAATGTGCTCAGTGTGGGAAGAGCTTCAGTGACTTCTCAACACTTATCCAGCACCAGAGAACCCACACGGGTGAGAAACCCTATGTATGTGTCGAATGCGGGAAAAGCTTCATCCAGAGCTCACACCTTGTTAGGCACCGGAGAATCCACACGGGAGAGAAGCCGTATAAATGTGCGGAGTGTGGGAAAAGTTTTCGATACAAGAGTCACCTCGCCCAGCACCATAAACTCCACATGGAATAGAAAGCGCAGCCATGTGAGCCCCTGTTCTGCCCACAGAAACCAATGCGTAAACTTTTATACAGTCTGATGACATCAAGAAGGAAGCACAAGGAGAGGAGGCTTGTGCCTCCATTCTTAGAGCAAATAGATCGGGGGAGTGTGGGAAAAGTTTTCGATACAAGAGTCACCTCGCCCAGCACCATAAACTCCACATGGAATAGAAAGCGCAGCCATGTGAGCCCCTGTTCTGCCCACAGAAACCAATGCGTAAACTTTTATACAGTCTGATGACATCAAGAAGGAAGCACAAGGAGAGGAGGCTTGTGCCTCCATTCTTAGAGCAAATAGATCGGGTGGTGGTCCCCGTCCCCCTCTGGCCCCCCTGTGCTCACCAGGGCAGCGATTCAAAATGGCACCCAACATGGTGGCCATCGATGGGAACCTGATATGGCCAAAAAGCCTACGCTTGTTTCTTAAAGGGGCAGCCTCCTTTTTTTTGTTTGTTTTTTGCTCAACTATTCTGGTGTGGCTCTTCACATTTTTTCTGCCGCTGTTTCGACACTCTTTGTTAAATGGGTTGGGCTGAAATAGATTGTTCTAGGATTGATGGAAGGTGAGAGATAAATGGTGGGAAGGAGATTAATGTTGATAGGCAGATTGCCCGAACCCGGCTCTTCCGGGATGTAATCTACTTGCCATGGGCGAGTAGATTACATAGATTATTGAGCCCTGTTGATAGGAATTAATCAATGGGCATCAGAGGGAACAAGGAGAGAGAGAGGGAGCTAGGGGAAATGATTATTTGGTATTCAGAGGACTGATAGGCTGGAGAAATTAAGGTGTTGAGGGAATTTGGTGCTAAGGAACATTGTTTGGAGTACAGCAAATAGAGGGGAAATATCATTGTCTTATTAAGAAGTAAAAAATTATATATTTGCTCTCAGACAGATTCTTGGCTCATACAATGTCCTGGGAAATGCCTCACTTACTGAACTGTGGAAGACAAAATGACACTTATTCTCTTTGGCTATGTCTCCAGCAATTGCTTCCTCATTTTAGATTATATTTATTTATAGCTGCTATTTTAGGAGCTCAGTGAAACCTGAACAAAAATGTCCCCATTTTCTGGGACATATTGTAAGATCTAGTTTTAAACTGTGTTAAGTGTTTCCCCCTCTGAAATAAAACTTAAAAAAAAACCTGTATTCTCCCATCTTCTCTCCTGTAGTCTTGTTTCTAGAGTCGAATGCTTTGTATTGCTTAGTCAGCGTCACCCGAAAGAAACAAAACAGTCTTTTAGGCCCCATCTAGACTAGATTAATTAACTGGTGTTTCTAAAAACTGTTGCTAAGCACACCTCATCTTACCAGTCTATACAGGGCCTTCATGATCACTGCTCAAAGATGATGAGTCTAGTGCACACTGAGAGCTGTGTCCATTCTGCAGTTAGCTAACCAGGGCAGAAAGTATCTTGTAGCTTCTCTGGAGTTGTACTGCAGGGAGCCTCACACTTCAATTTACCTCTGGCTTGCCCTGGTCACTCCATACTATGTTGTCCAAAGATTATGGTTGTTCACTCTGATGACTCTGAAGTGGGCTTTGGTAGCAGAAGAGCCTTGTCCCCTGCCTGCAGACTGTGCTTGTGCCATTTGTATGCAGCTAACTCAATACCTTGCCTATCTGTTTATAGCGCATTCAGCCCCAGAATTATCATCCATAATAGGGCCTGCACAAACTGCAACAGTTTTGCTAAAAAACTAAGAGCAGGTTTGTAAGATCCCTACAAAGAATTTTAGGGAGATATGCAAAACCAAATGGCATGAAAAGCAGCCCGCATCTGAATATGTGATAGGAAACTGTGTCATGGATACGCACAATTCCCACCGCATCTCCCACTCCCAGCACAGTGCCAGGGGCGGCATTTCGGCCAGACTCACCAGGGCAATGGGCGGAGCCTGCAGGGGGAGCGCGCTCCCTTGCTGACCCACGCGGCCGCCTGGGAGGACGGGTCAGCGCCTCAGTGCTGGGCGCGGAGGGAGCCCTACTCCCCCCTCCGAGTGCAGAAGCAGCCCCGGCCCGGAGCCCGCTCGGCCCCTCTCCTGCCTCCCTGCGCGGCGCACACGCGGCCGCTGAGTTGTCAAGCCCAAGAGCAGCGGCACTTTGGGCCTCAGCGAGGGATCCTCCCGCCCCCC